TATATATATATTCTTTTTTTCTTTTTTGCGTGTCTCCTACTGCCTGCTGTGATAGTTGCCCCTCCATGTCACATATACTGCACATATATGATCAATGCATTGGCAATCATCAACCACTCGAATCGTGGATTATCAGTCCCAACGCCAAACTCACGTGAGCCTTTATTGGTGGCTTACACAGGTACTAGTACTCCATTTTTTTTTAATCTGTATGCTGCTATACTACAAATTTGTATATGTCCATCAGAGTTATGTTATCTTGCAAACCTGATTTCATTTTATATGACGTAAATCTCTGATACGCCAAGATAAAATGGATATTCATTAATATAATCTCTATGGTACTAGCTGGTATTTAGTGTTGTATCTATTTTTTTTTTAAACGAAATTCTGTTACTTATTATCAGCTGCATTGTGTGTTTCAGTTAACTGTTACATTCAGTTCATATTTTTACAACTTGGAATAGGGCGCTAGATCGCTAGGAGCCCAATTCCGATTTGCTCAGTATGACCTGAGTCTGATTTTCTTCAGTTGACAAAATGAAAAGCTGGAGAAACTGGTGATTGCATAGTTGATTTTTGTAAACACTGGCTACAACTTCCAAATAAATTTCTTGTATGTAGTTTATGACGTGAAAAGAGAATAGCTAGTCGTGGTTGTTCGTTCTGTGCTCAAAGTCTTACATTGTGTGCTTCTATGCATTTTAACCATTATGCACAATGCTGTAGAATGTGTGCTTATATAAATTTTATCGGTAATGAAGATTGAATGGCCCTCTACATGATGAAGCTGCTAGCGTTCTTCCAAAGGTTGGACAAAAGTGGGAACCAATTCTTCATTCACAGATCAATTGATAATGGGAACTAGTGTCCCAATTACTAGTGGAAGCTATTGGGAGTTTCAGAGGTAAGTTTCATGTATGGAGGTTACTTTTACTCTATTGTTGCAATTCTTCTTGTATTTATCCCTGGTGTTTATTTTGCGTCTCTTGAAAATAAGTAATTTCTGTTGAATTTGATGCATTAGGTTATACTGGGTAACTCTGGCAATCGAGTGCAATGATTCCAATGGAAAGTTATTTGTCTTTCTAATTTTAGTAATGGAGAACTGATCTGTTATGTCAATAAAGTATTATTCAAATCATGTGATTAATTGTGTGTTTTGATGACAGGATATGTTTTTTGGGTGAATTGATCTCATATGTTATAATAATGAACTCTCATGATATGTTTTTTTGAGTTATTGTATTGGGAGTTATGTATGGGAAGTGTTCTTATTTCTTTGGTTGATTTAGAATTTGTTGATTGTCTGTATGTCCATTTTGTAACTGTTAGTTTTTGGGCTCTTGCATTGAGAGTTGTCTGTAGAGGTTTTTTTTTTTGTCAAGGTTGCATAGGAATGGAACTTGAGATGTTGGGCTATGAAACCGCTATGAAAACCATGCCTCTACCGTATTGACCCATGCCCGATTTGTATTTGTCTATAGACACATTATTTTGGCAGATATTTTAACTGGGAATTCTTTGATCTTTTTTATTCCATATGGTGAATTTCCAGTTTTCGACTTGGGTTTGCTTTAAGTTATTTATCCATTTATTGGAAGGGATCCTTCTAGTTCAATTTCTACAGAGCTCTATTGTTGGGTGCATTTGGTGGTATTTCTTTTTAATGAATGTTTGTATCATTTACGTCTTCTCATGAAAGGTCAGGCTTTATGTCTCATCTATTTCTTTCTATTCTTTTTTTTAGGTTTTTCCCTCAATTCTTGATACACTAAATAGATACTGCTCAAGCATATGATTTAAGAGATCCATGTTTCTTTCAAGAGCCGGATTATGTCCATGAGTGCAAGGTGAAGGTCGTGAATCTGCTTGTATATGTATGCGACTCCGAATAACCAATGCTGCAAGTAATCTTCTTTGCTCATCACAAAGAGCGCACAGTGTTCCTTCGACCCCAAAGTAACCTTACTTATGCATGTCATTGAGATTTGTATTGTGTATCCTTTGTTAGGATGCAGATTGCATGGTTTACAACTATTCTGTCCTTTTTATCAGTGGTTGAAAGCTGTAATGAGATTAGGGTTATTGGGAACTGGTAGTGAAATGTGCTGATGTAAAGCACATCAATGGTTAATGGTATTCGACTCTTGTCCTTGTGGCTGTTGCATTGTGGGTGCGCTTGCAAGCCAGCCAGACGACCTCAATAAAAAAATTTCTTTTCTGGGTTTCGAGGGGGGGCTTTTAGGGCATTTTTGTCCCTGTTCTCCCCAATTTGTGTGTATGTGTGTCTTGCTCTTTTTTTGTTTTGCTTTTTTCTTTTTCTTTTACTTCAAATTGCCTCAGCCACGCATGTATTGATCAGTGCATTGGCAACTGACCACCACTCTGAACCCGCAAATTATATCGTCCACATGACAAATGTAGGTTACCTCTTGCCAATGGCTTACACAGATGTGAATGTTTTGAAACCACAAATTATATCGTTCCCACATGACAAATGGAAGTTACCTTCCATCAATGGCTTACACAGGTATGAATGTTTTGAAATTTAGTTTACTTTTCTCTTAGCGCAAATTGGAACATCTGCACCTGTGTCGATCAATGCATTGGCAATAGACGACTACTCTGTATTCGTGGATATTGGTCCAATGACAAATGGATGTTACCCATGGCTTCACAGGTATGAATATCTCGAAATTTAATCTTTGCCGCTGTATTTTCTTTATTGTTTTTCTTTACATGTCTTCTACCTGTCGTGGTAGTTGCCCCTCATATTGTTTACGCACGATGTGTTGGAATCGTTAGCTCAAACCATGTATTTTCAGTTATAACTCCAAACCGACATGAGCCTTTGTTGATGACTTACACAGGTACACATATATCCCTTTATTTCAATGTTGATTACCGATTTATAAATAGTTTGGGTCCTCACAAACATTGTTTCAATTCATTTGATACACAAACTCTTGTAAACCAAGAGAAAATGTTTGATTCTCTTACCTATCATGCCTGGTTATTATTGTTTGTTTACATGGATACAAGTGATTCAAAATTTGGGATGATGCTCCGAATCACTAGGGTCCCAGTTCTGATTTTCCTGGTGTGATTCGGGAAGCCGGTTGGACTATAGTCTGCAGTAAAAATAGAACAAAAGGAAATGTAAGAAATTTTGAGTTTTGGGACAAGTGTGGGTATCCTTCAGCAAATAAACCAAAAATTTTAAAAGCTGGAGAAATCAGCTGATTGCAGCGGTGAATTCTTAAAGCAGTGGTTACAACTCATCATAAGCCTTTTCCCAAAGCAGTGGATACAAACTACCAAATAAATTTTCATGTACATAGGTTATGAAATGGGAAAAGCGAATAACTAGTTGTGGTTGATTCTTTTATATTCAGAGCTGTAGAATGTGTGCTTCTATGTGCATTTTAACTGTGGTCAAGATAAATGCTTGTCCACAAAATCATGAACCCAGATCAATTGATACGCTCAATTATCAGTGGAAACCATTTGGAGTTTAAGAGGTAATTTGCTTCTTTCTCAGTGCTGAAGCTGGTTATGAGAGATGACAGTAAACGGTGGTAGGCTTTATGCCAATTTATGTTTAAAGGAAAGGTTCTTATGTGTTATTGCTTGTCACCTTACAAATGCTTACAGCTTCCATAGTTTTGTTATGTAGGTTTTATTTAGGTGGAGTTCTACACCTCAACTTTTGTTTATTTATGGAGGAAGCTTATGTCTTCATCCTGGTTTTGATGATTTTATCCTAGCTCCTGGTTCGCCTCTCGGTTTCTACGAAATTAGGTTGCAATATGTCGGCCTCAGAAATTTCATGGTAATATTGTTTCAATTGCTGTATCTTGATTGTGTTTGGCTCTCATTACAGTTGTGAGTTGTTACATATTTGTTTTTTTCATTCATGATTTTGCAAATTAAGTTTTGTGAGCTCCAAGGCTGCAAATTCTTGAAGAAGTCTGTTGTGGATTCAACCCGAGGTTTCTGCTACTTTGCGTGCATACAATCGTGTTGTGAAGAAATTTATTGTTGAGATTTGTTTTGCATTGTTTCTTGATGCTTAATATACAAATTAAATCTTAATTAAGTCTTGCTGGCTGTCACTTTTTTAGAATTTTATTGTTGATATAATCTGCTAGGTCTAAAATCCCGGATTGTTTCAGGGAACTGGCCATCTGGGAAATCAGTTTGGATCACAGTGATCCAGCTGAGAGAATCTTCCAATAAAACAAAAAAGAAAAAATAAAACAATTGAAAACCAATAAACGGCAAAAATGTGGTAATTGGCTGGTTTTGTTGAAGAACATCCCGGTTTTGTGTGGAACTGGGCGATTCATGGTTCCGACTAGGATACAGACCGTTTTTCTGCTGATTTCCAATCCGTATTGGCATTTTTTTGTAACATAAGTTGAAAGTGGGGTTTTTCCAATTCTGCTGGTTTTATCACAAAAATAATCTTAAAACAAAAAAAAGTTCTTTGAATTAACAATCTCTAATGTTTCTTAGTTTCCTAATTAATTAGATTTGGTCGATGAATACAGAGCTCATGTTTGCAATCAAAGATTACATTTGTTTTCTGTAAGTTATGACATCTTTCACTCATAACTTAATGACTGAAGGATGACATTCCTCAAGAAAATATAAGTGCTTTGCGTGTGTTTTCTTTGAGAAATAAGATTGATGCAGTGTGCACCGCCACATTCTTCTTGGATGCATTTGCCAAAATTTGACATTGTCAAATTAGAAACGATATTTATCAAAATACCTATAAGAGAAGAACAATTGTTTCATGCGGGATGGACTGCATTCGTACATTGTGTTTTGGAGGTATAAATCATCTATCTTAAAGATGGATGAATAGGTGGTCCATCAAAAACAATTGCAACGAACGGTCTAAATGTGTTTTTAATATAATTATTATTTTTAGTTTTGAAATTTATTTATTTTTTCATATTCATGATCTCTATGTTAAAAGATTAGATATTCTCTAAATATCAGGATCAAATTATATTTAAAAAATATATTTATTTCCAAGTTTGCTTTTCTACTTTTGAAGGCTTGGCCGCACTCTCAACTGCGTCCAAGAGATAAACTATTCAACAATGGGTGAGGTTTGTATAAGGTTGCCTCCTTTACCTTACAAGGTGCACCTATAAAATTTATTTAGAGATGTTTTTATGACAAACCGATGGCTTCACAATCTCTTTTTTATCCTCATTTATAAAATTTATAATTTTAAATACGGTGTACGTCAAAATGGTTCAAGAAACAGAAAATAGATGGTCCTAAGTTGTTATAAGATGTACTATTTTTTGGACTTGGAGGTCTCTTTATTTTTTTGTATCTATTCTGGCAATTTTATGGTCAAGATGATCAATTGGAGGTTTCTTTTGTACCAAAGCACTCTCATATTTTAGGTGCACCTTACTTTAACATGCTGCAACTTTCTATAAACTTTTTCCGCCAAGATGGGATATTCCCTTTTGGGACTATTTCAACTCAAGACTATGAATGGTTTTATAGGTATTTTGAAATTAAATTAAAAGAGGGTGGTTAAAGTCTTGAATTGTTGAGCTCTTGAATTTAAATTAGAGGATGGGGGTCAAAGTCTTGAATTGTTCAGCTCTTGATTTTAAATCAAAAGATGGGGGTTAAAGTCTTGAATTGTTGAGCTATCATAGGTAACTTGATAAAGGTTTAAAAGTAAAATAGGTCTAAAAGTGTGTTGAAACTTAAGGTCGCTGCGTTAAGAAAGGTGCACTTGTTTTCTTAAAATAGAAGACGGACTCCGTAGGTCCTTAAACTGAAATAAAGACTTTTTTAGCGAACATGTGCAGTATCAATTAGGCAAAAATAAAGGTTTCGGATGCAAGGTAAATTTCATATGTTGTTGATATGTTGTGCGTTGATTTTGATTTCATGGTGATCTGACATAAATGTAACTTGGCTTCTACTTCTTCTTTTTTTTTTTCTTTTTTTTAATTTATAAAATTAGAATTAAAATGATAGAATTTAGAGTGAATACATTTGATGGCGTTTCAATAGGTGATAAAATAGGATAACGTAGATGTAGGTGTTTTGGTAATATGTGGTGTAGACTTAAAAAGGTATTTAGGAGAGATGGTTTTGTTCCATTGCTCTTAAAGCTTAGGGGAAGGTTCTAAAGGACATGGATGGAAGTATTAGAAAAAAAAAATGGTGATTTGTTATTTGATTGAGGCTATGACCCTTGATATTGGCGGGATAAGATTCATATAATTGATCCCAAACAATTGAGACGAGGTGTAAAAATGTCTAATTGTACTTAAAATATCAAGATCTTAACATTTCACATGTTTGTCAAAATTCTTCTAAAATTTGAACTATTCTATTCTATGATTTCGTGTCCTTTGTTAGGAATTTTGAAATTAAGTAGAAGAAAAAGGAGATATTAATTCATTTTTTTCCTAAAATAAAATTTCCATTTTTAGTAGCTTTTTTAAATAGTGATGATTTTGGTCATGTCACATATCTTATAAAAAGTGTATGCCATAGAACAGTTAAATTGGTTTATAAATGCAACTTATGAATTATGTGTCTGTGCCTCTTTATTCACTTATTAAATAAGGATTAGTGTTTGTACTAACTTGTTTTCACAATAGATATTAGTGTTTATTTTGGACCTATGGGCACTTGGTGTATTGAATTCAAATGGATTACCTTGTCTTGAAATGGATTCTTAGCTCAAGTTGGACAGAGCACTCGGGTTAGTTCCTGGGAAGATAGTGGTTCGAATCCACTGGAATCCTCTTATTTCTTAATGGACCATATATCATAGAAAAACTAGAAAGAGTAAGAAAAGTTGAATTTCTTAATGAAGAGCAGATGTAGTTTTAATTCGTTGGGGAAGTTTAGAGAACAAATTTTTTTTTTTTTATGCTTTGTTGAAGTTTTCGGTATTTTCTAAAGGAAAATTGTTTCATGCATCGTGTCCTGAATTTCTACATTTGCTCCTCTGTTTTATAAAGCACCCATCTTTAAAGATTGATGCAAATGGGTGGTTCATTTACAAATAATTGAAACTACCTGTCCAAATGTTTTTTTCATAAAATTATTGTTTTTTTTTTTTAAAATTTATTTAGTTTTTCATATTCATGATCTCCATATTATAGATTATATGTCCTTAAAAATTGGGTCCAAAAATCCATCTCAAAAATATATTTTTAAGAGTAGACTTATTTCTACATGGACTTATAGGTCTTTTCTAAAACACATTCTAAATGTCAATTATTTAACATCCCCGGGGACGAGACTCAGTCACTAGGAGAAAAAATATTGTTATGAATTACGCTAATCTAGTTCTGTAATATCTATTTCTGTGCCTATTATTGGTTGAAATTGACGATTTGTTCTTATATATACCTCCCTATTATTGGTTGAAATTGACGATTTGTTCTTATATATACCTCCCCACCCCTAAGGGAAAAAATGAATAATAATTGTTTTAGTGAGTTTAAAAAAATCTCGATAAAAATAACCCTTTAACCTTTCTTCAGTTCCTCCGAATTGCCTAATCAATTCCTAATGTGGCCAAAATTGCTGGGTGGGAGATCCACCCCAATAATCACTTTTACAGCTCCAAAAAGTACAAGATAGCTCGCACATGATAAATTTCCCCATCTAAGCTAGAAATGTCCCATATCCTAACTAACATTCAAAAGAAACACATCCATATGCATGCAGGTTTCAACATAAGATATACGTTTTATTTATCTTTTCATTTTTTTTTTGACAAGGTTACATAAGAAAGGAGCTCGAGACTTTGGGCTATAAAAACCTAGCCTCTAGCGTCCTTACCCAAGCACATTTCCTAACATAAGATATACATTAGGGTCCACAATAAAAGTCAACTCTGATAATTAGCCCATTTAGGGTTAGGGGTTGTCTAGGTAGGGTTGGCCCTATGAAACAAGGGCATGTTTCATGGCCTAGAGCTAGGTGGCCGAGGCAAGGGTAGGGCTATGCCGCAACCTTTTTTTCTTATTGCTTTTGTTTACTTCTGTTGGGTGGCCCGGCCCGGCCCAGCCAGGGCCAAGGCCTCTTCAACCCTGTCAAAGCTGGCACTGTAGGGATAGGCGAGGCTAGGCCCGGCCCGTTGCCACCCCTATGGCTAGGGAGTAGAGACCCAAAGGGCAGCATAATATCATGGTAAACCACAGAAATCAGTCCCAATAATTAGGGCAAATTATGGCTGGCTAGGGAGCAAGAGAGCTATGTAGGTGAAGATGAGATAAATACAAGGCAACATCATAAACTTGTAGTAGTAGTAGTGGCAACACCATAAACTTATTGGTGCATACAATTCAACACCCCTTCCCCCACCCCCAACAAAAACAAATTAATCCTCTCTTTCTAGATTGAATTTTCTTGTTAACATGTACTGGTTCATTATGATAAATCAGTTGCAAGTCCACTAATACACCAATACAAGACCATCAACAACAATTTGAAGCCTCAACAACAAACTCAGTGTTTACGTTCGGATTTGCGCCGACTTCAGAGAAGTGTCTACACTCAGGCACCTGCACCAGATCCCATATCACAAATATACACAAGATCTAGCCATCTAAGTTACAAATAAATCAATATAACTTATAAAATGAACCCTTGAAATCTACACATTTATATCTTTTCAACAAAAGGAGAGAGAGAGAGGGGTCCTAGTGGCGAGCTGTGGGGCTCCTGAGGCCCCCCAAATTCTCTAGCTTCTCAATGTAAGAAACCCTCTTATTAGTCACTACATTTGGTGGGGCTTTGACCATGAATTTTCCATCACCATTCCCTAAAATGTCCTCCAAACTCCCTGGATCATCTGTTTTCTTCATGTCTGCTTCCTGCTCAATGTTCCATCCCATGAAGTCTGATAAGGTCAAGGCATGTTCATTCTCCATGGCATCAAGCTTCTCCATTTCTTCACCAGGGCTAGGGAACTTTGATAGCGGGGATGTGGAGGTTGGGTTGGCACAATATGGCCTCCGCTCCACCTCGGCCTCGGTGGGGTTCTGGGTGAGGGAGTCGGCATAGAAGACGTCTTCGATCCGAGAGAGGATGGTGAAGGCAAGGCTCTCTAGTATTCTTGAGTAGCTCTCAAGTACAGATTGACCCACATCCTGGTTTAAGAGAGACACAAAGAGAGAAGCATTAAGAAATTGAGAGAAATTAATGATAATTATAGGATTATGGAGTAGTTGGGAAGGAAATGGTACTAAAGTTTCGAAGATTAGTTCCAAAAATGGAGAGAGATATGTCTTAAAATGCTTCAATCTTTACATACAAACGGGGAGAGAGAGAGAGAGAGAGAGAGAGAGAGAGAGAGAGAGAGAGATACTCGTGTAGTACGTGTTATTTGTCTTATGTACAAGAACAGACGTAGAGTAACGTTACCGACGGTAACCTTCGTTGGTTTAGGAGGGACGGTAAC